AAGCATTATATTGTTTGAATATAGGAGTAACTCTGGTAGGCCTGAAACAGTCCTCCTCGCCTCAAGTCAGTTGGAGTGATGGTGTGCACTGCCTTCATATCATAGGCTTGCAGTAGCTAAAGCTTAATAATAGCCACACCACACCACACCAAACATTCACAAAAGTTTCTCAACTTTATTAGGGTAATATCAAAAGTAAGTCAAGCCATTGTTTAAAGGGAAAATAGGAGCAGAAAAGCACATGTAAACCAGGGACAAAATGGACTACCCTCCCCTGTGCCCCCCAATAAACCCAAACCCTCCCCAGAGCAAAAACAAAAGTTTGACAACACTCCCCTATTTTGGACCACCCCTCCCTCTCAGTAAATTTCAATCTGTCCCTAACAGTGGTCGGATCTGAATGCATATGGATGTCCAGTAAATTTCTCAAATGTCTGGTAAATTAAAATCTTCCCTGTCATGTTGTCCGGCGCCAAATTTTGAAATGGCATATTGTTTTTATGAAGATGTTAGAATATTTACATGAAAATCTGTCACCAATTGGATCGAAACCTAGCTAGCGCGCTAGTCCAGTGTCACTTTGATTATGCCTGCACATCATAGTTCACCAGCAGCTCCAAACATCTAAGAATAAGCACAGCTCTCTGGTCTTGGCCATTGTGGAGATGTTGGAGTCTGTTTGATTGAGTGTGTGGACAGGTGTCTTTTATACAGGTAACGAGTTCAAACAGGTGCAGTTAATACAGGTAATGAGTGGAGAACAGGAGGGCTTCTTAAAGAAAAACTAAAATTTCTGTGAGAGCCGGAATTCTTACTGGTTGGTAGGTGATCAAATACTTATGTCATGCAATAAAATGCAAATTAATTACTTAAAAATCATACAATGTGATTTTCTGGATTTTTGTTTTAGATTCCGTCTCTCACAGTTGAAGTGTACCTATGATAAAAATTACAGACCTCTACATGCTTTGTAAGTAGGAAAACCTGCAAAATCGGCAGTGTATCAAATACTTGTTCTCCCCACTGTATGTATTTTTTTACTGACAAATCAAATCAATCAATCCAAACTGTGCAGCGGCCAATTGATGAATGGAAAGAGACATCTGTTACATAACACCAAAAAGTGTAATGACATTCGGAGATTGTCAAGCCAAGCCTTCGATACTGGGTAATCCTACAAGTTAGGGAGGGATGTAGTTTCTGTTTGTTGAGATTGACATAGTCTATTTATTGTGATGTTGAAAACGCAAACCATGATATTGAAGTGCCCGAAGTCGGTATGCTTTGTTTATTGGTTGTGTGGTGCATTGGCACAGAAATGTGTTTCTGAAAAATGTGTTACATATATTTTATATAATTATAAATATGGCATCAAAATGTTGAAAATCTGATTTCCCCCTAGGTGATCATTGTCTGCAGCCGGCTCTGATTGTAGTATAATGAAACAGGCAGGGAGAGTGAGCTCGTCTATGGTTGTCAGCGAACCCCCAACCTTATGGCTCGTAGCCCTGCAAATGCATGCTGAAGTGGCAAAGTCGAAGTCCTCGTTCATAAACAAAGTGTCACTACAGTTATTATTATTTGTGGTCGTAAACATTATTTTGAGTTAATTATATGAGGGGGGTGTTCAATTGATTAAATGTCTTCCTCTGAGCAATTGTATAACAATAATATTTATCCCCAAAAATAGCATACAATATATCTCAGTATTTAAATCATTTTATTTTATACAGTCTTTTTTGCTTATCTTTATCAAGGGTGGCAATCATTTTGGAGGTGACTGTAGTATGTACAGATACAGCCTGAGACAATATATTGTGGGACTGGAATGTAAAGTGATATGTATAGGACTTTTATTGTGATATTCGTCCACCTGTATTCAAATTGGCTCCTGTATTCGAAGGGCTTCTGGGGAGAACAGTAGTCAAAGCTGCCATGAGGTAGTGTGTGGAGGTGTCACTAAGCTATCTACCGTTATTATTTATTTTATGTCCCCTTGAGTTATGCAAAGTCTCATCATTCAAGTTTACAGTCTAATGCACTGATGGCACATTGTGCCAGCTTCTTCAACTACAAGACCTACAACCCACGGCCATACAATATCATAGACTTTATCTGCCATGATCTTCTGTAGGATCTTAGTGTGTGTGTGTCATTCATTTAATTTACAGTGTTAAATAACACTAATATGTGAGGACAATATTTTTTGTGACAAATATTGTATTCTGGCATTATAATACGGTTGTGGAAATCTGTTGCAGCTCAAGTCGACTACAAAATTCACAATGCAATTCTCTCTCTATGGGCTGGCTAGCTAGATAGCAAACGTAGCTACACACAATAATACCAAAGACAATATCAGCATGTAAAGTAGCTAGTTAGCTGTAAAATCGCAAAACTATGATCAATGGCTCATTCAAGAGAAGACATCCTCCCGAGTTATGACATCGGCCAGTATTGAAATCTGACATGTATGATAGACATTTTCACAATATAAAAGTCGTATTCCTATTAACTTCCAGTGTAGTGACAGCAACTTTATCACAGTGCTACATCATACCGGCCGGATTTCTGCCTGCTTGAACGTCAATAACTCAGATACACATGAAAACATGAAATGACCCAGGGAATCGATAGAACATCACTCAGAGATGCACAAAAACCATATAACATTCAAAATGGGTGAACCTTTCCTTTAACAACTGACTTTCAGCACGCTTATAGGGAAGGGCATTCAGTATCTACAGCACTTACACAAATGACTGATGATTGGCTGAACGAAATTGATAATAAGAAGATTGTGGGAGCTGTTTTGTTAGACTTCAGTGCAGCTTTTGACATTATCGATTATAATCTGCTACTGGAAAAACGTATTTGTTATGGCTTTACATCCCCTGCTATATCGTGGATTGAGTTACCTGTCTACCAGAACACAGAGGGTGATCTTTAATGGAAGCCTCTCCAACATAATCCAGGTAGAGTTGGACATTCCCCAGGGCTGCTGTCTAGGCCCCTTACTTTTTTCAATCTTTACTAATGACCTGCCACTGGCACTGAGTAAACCCTGTGTGTCTATGTATGCTGATGACTCAACATTATACACATCAGCTACCACAGCAAGTGAAACCACTCCAACACTTAACAAAGAGCTGCAGTCAGTTTTAGAATGGGTTACAAGTAATAAGCTAGTACAAAATAATTAAAAAACTAAAAGCATTGTATTTTGGACAAATCATTCACTAAACCCTAAACCTCAACTAAATCTTGTAATGAATAATGTGGTAATTGAGCAAGTTGAGGAGACTAAACTGCTTGGTGTAACCCTGGATTGTAAACTGTCATGGTCAAAACATATCAATGCAACGGTAGCAAAGATGGGGAGAGGTATGTCAGTAATAAGTAATAAAGTGCTACTTTCTTGACATTGCTATCAACAAAACAAGTCCTACAGGCCCTAGTTTTTTTTGGCATCTGGACTACTGTCCAGTCATATGGTCAAGTGCCACAAAGAGGGACATAGGCAAATTACATTTGGCCCAGAACAGAGCAGCACAGCTGGCCCTTAAATGTACACGGAGGGCTGACATCAGTGACATGCATGTCAGTCTCTCCTGGCTCAAAGTAGAGGAGAGATTGACTGCATCACTTCTTGTCTTTTGAAAGGTATTGACATGTTGAAAGCACTGAGCTGTCTGTTCAAACGACTAGCACACAGCTCAGACGCCCATGCATACCCCACAAGACATGCCAACAGGGGTCTCTTCACAGTCCCCAAGTTCTGAACAGACTCTGGGAAACACACAGTACTACACAGAGCCATGACTACATGGAACTCTATTCCACATCAAGTAACTCGTGCACGTAGCAAAATCAGATTTAAAAAACTACACTTTATTGAACAACACGGACTATGGAGAAACACACATACGCAAACACGCTAGCACACCCACATACATTGTAATATTGTTGTGGTATACATTTTGTAATGTAGATATTTTTGTTTTTGTGTGTTGTAATTGCCTTAATTTGTTTGGACCCCAGGAAGAGTAGCTGCTGCCTTGGCAGCAACTAGTAGATATCCCTAATAAATACAATACTCTTATCCAGAGCGACTTACAGAAGCAATAAGGGTTAAGTGAATTGCTCAGGGGCACATCGACAGATTTTTCCCCTAGTCGGCTCTGGGATTCGAGCCAGCTAACTTTCCGTTAGGATACCTGCCGCCCACCGATATAGACTTTTAGTGATCTGGTGCAGTGAACAATTGACTTTGTGAATTTATTTCTTAGAGTTTTGAAACATTATTCATTTTGATTATCTGTTTTGATTTTTGTGCTAAGAGTTGTGAAAATGTACCACGTGAAAATTGCACCAAAGTGAGTGAAAAAATATGTATTACAAAACTTTTGATAATTCAAAACAGCAAAAAACTAAAGATTCCTTTCTAGGATTTTCTTTATTTTCATTCCATAATATACGCACCACAGATGATTGTAGTAACTTAAGGATAAATAAATAAATAAAACACATGGAAGGTTTAAGAATTCAGTGTTACAGCTTCAACAATACACTGATCGACTTCCACAACAATAAGTATCTTAACATTCAGGAACAGAAACTGTGTGAAAACAAAGAGTGTCTTTAATGCATTCTGAGACGTGCTTCTCTCTGCAAAATTTGAGCTGATAACTGAAAAGCCCTTGACTATGGATACTCAGTGCATTACTCTGATGGGAGGCAAACAACTTGAGAGGACGATGTGACAGCATAGCATCAAAACATGAGAAAACCAAGTCAAGCCGGTTTAAACATGCAGTGTGAACGAAACAAACTGTTGTCAAGCCGGTTTAAGAAAACAGTAATTTCATGATGTATAGACAGACTAGGATTGATATTTATTTCAGGCTGGAGGATGTGAAGTCTTTATTTTCGATGTAGGGGCGGTCTTCTAGTTCTTCGGAATCAGAATCAGAATGTGTCTTCTAGTTGTTCTAATTCTACTACAGCACGCTGCACCACACGGAGGCCACCAGGGCGGCGCCGAGGGCTGCGGTGACAGAGAGCTTGGCAGAGGTTGCGCCGCTGATTGTGACTGGGTTGCACTTGTTGGTGGCGCAGCAGGTGTTGACGGTGGTGTAGGTGGCGCCCAGGAGGGTGGCGTTGGTGGTGGTGTTGCACATAGCACCCTCCAGACAGCCTTGGGTGTTGAAGCCTACGAAAGTAGTGAGGGAGGGGAAGGCTAGAGAGAGAGAGAGAAGATATGAGGGTTAGAATGATAATTAACCTGATGCTGTGTGTGTGTGTGTATGTGTGTGTGTGTGTGTGTGTGTGTGTGTGTGTGTGTGTGTGTGTGTTTGTGTAGGGCAGGGCAGGGATGGGCAACTGGTGAAATTGGCCCCCCTTTTGTAGGCTCGCAGATCAATTTCCAAAAACGGGGCTCCCGGTTTTTTTTGGAACTCAGTTGGGGTCTCAACTTACTGTTGAGTGTTAGAATAGTAGAGTACACAAGGTGTGACATTTTGTTGTGCATCTGCAGTTTTTTATCTTGTTATGTCAGTCACTCAATTAGCCATGTCAACTAACAATTTTTAGATTGGTAAGTTAGGGGCTATTCCCATTGATTAAAGTTTAAGGAGAGGCACCGGGACGATATTTTAATGTACAAAAAATGTGCATAAGCTTTCAATTGACATTACATCCTTGCCTTACCTTTCGTTGTGGCTGGCAACGTGACATTCTTGCTCTGCAGCTCCAAACCGTAAATATCAGTTTACTTGTAGCCACTATCTAGTTAGCTCTAGTTTAGATCTAGTAATGGGAATTTCAGCTCTTTTTACTGACTCTGATCTTTTCGACTCATTTCGTTCATTTGAGTTAGTAGCACGTAGGATTCATGATTCAACAAGCCTCTCGTTCACATCTCGTTCATCACGCAGGACCCCTGTCGGCAAAGAATGAACTGGAAAATCGAAAAAGAGTCATGATTCTACAATACTTACTGGCTCTTCCAGTGAAGCAGCTACTTGTGTTGGTTGTGCAGACCTGATCAGCAGCATTTAGGCAAACGCCCACCATGCCCACATCGCATTTGTTACATGTCAGCGACTCCACTGAAACACACAGCGGTGGGTGGGGTTAGACAATCAGATCACATTGCTTCACACACAACACACAATGGCTGACCATTGTCTGGTCACTCAGAGAGAGAGAGAGAGGGGGCGAGAGAGAGAGTGAAAGTTGAAACTTCTGAGTGTAATGTTTACTGTTAATATTTATTGTTTATTTCACTTTTGTTTACTATCTACTTCCCTTGCTTTGGCAATGTTAACACACGTTTCCCATGCCAATAAAGCCCTTAAATTGAAATTGAATTGAGTGAGAGAGGAAACATGACACTGATTAAATGTTAATTGTTTGTTTCTGCTAGATACAGTGGGGAGAACAAGTATTTGATACACTGCCGATTTTGCAGGTTTTCCTACTTACAAAGCATGTAGAGGTCTGTAATTTTTATCATAGGTACACTTCAACTGTGAGAGAAGGAATCTAAAACAAAAATCCAGAAAATCACATTGTATGATTTTTAAGTAATTAATTTGCATTTTATTGCATGACATAAGTATTTGATCACCTACCAACCAGTAAGAATTCCGGCTCTCACAGACCTGTTAGTTTTTCTTTAAGAAGCCCTCCTGTTCTCCACTCATTACCTGTATTAACTGCACCTGTTTGAACTCGTTACCTGTATAAAAGACACCTGTCCACACACTCAATCAAACAGACTCCAACATCTCCTCAATGGCCAAGACCAGAGAGCTGTGTAAGGACATCAGGGATGAAATTGTAGACCTGCACAAGGCTGGGATGGGCTACAGGACAATAGGCAAGCAGCTTGGTGAGAAGGCAACAACTGTTGGCGCAATTATTAGAAAATGGAAGAAGTTCAAGATGACGGTCAATCACCCTCGGTCTGGGGCTCCATGCAAGAGCTCACCTTGTGGGGCATCAATGATCATGAGGAAGGTGAGGGATCAGCCCAGAACTACACGGCAGGACCTGGTCAATGACCTGAAGAGAGCTGGGACCACAGTCTCAAAGAAAACCATTAGTAACACACTACGCTGTCATGGATTAAAATCCTGCAGCGCACGCAAGGTCCCCCTTCTCAAGCCAGCGCATGTCCAGGCCCGTCTGAAGTTTGCCAATGACCATCTGGATGATCCAGAGGAGGAATGGGAGACGGTCATGTGGTCTGATGAGACAAAAATAGAGCTTTTTGGTCTAAACTCCACTCGCCGTGTTTGGAGGAAGAAGAAGGATGAGTACAACCCCAAGAACACCATCCCAACCGTGAAGCATGGAGGTGGAAACATCATTCTTTGGGGATGCTTTTCTGCAAAGGGGACAGGACGACTGCACCGTATTGAGGGGAGGATGGATGGGGCCATGTATCGCGAGATCTTGGCCAACAACCTCCTTCCCTCAGTAAGAGCATTGAAGATGGGTTGTGGCTGGGTCTTCCAGCATGACAACGACCCGAAACACACAGCCAGGGCAACTAAGGAGTGGCTCCGTAAGAAGCATCTCAAGGTCCTGGAGTGGCCTAGCCAGTGTCCAGACCTGAACCCAATATAACATCTTTGGAGGGAGCTGAAAGTCTGTATTGCCCAGCGACAGCCCCGAAACCTGAAGGATCTGGAGAAGGTCTGTATGGAGGAGTGGGCCAATATCCCTGCTGCAGTGTGTGCAAACCTGGTCAAGACCTACAGGAAACGTATGATCTCTGTAATTGCAAACAAAGGTTTCTGTACTAAATATTAAGTTCTGCTTTTCTGATGTATCAAATACTTATGTCATGCAATAAAATGCAAATTAATTACATAAAAATCATTCAATGTGATTTTCTGGATTTTTGTTTTAGATTCCGTCTCTCACAGTTGAAGTTTACCTATGATAAAAAATTACAGACCTCTACATGCTTTGTAAGTAGGAAAACCTGCAAAATCGGCAGTGTATCAAATACTTGTTCTCCCCACTGTACATAGATAAATATGCCAGTACAGAATAAACAGGGGGCATCTTTGTGTAAGGTTGTGTTTCATGACTGAAGACCTCAGATGATTTGATGTGTGGTCATAGACATCTGAGCACTTTGGACCACACGCTTGATTGGTGTGCTATATACTACCACAGCAGTACAGGTATGTGGCCTTTATCATACATAATAATTCAAATTAACTGAAATGGCATGCCATTACATCATAGACATTACATTAATCATACAGAACTGTACATCAGTATCATCACTGTTGTCTACTACATAATTCTCTGTTGGATTGTGAATGAAGCACCCTGACCAAATGTTAACTCCTACAGAGTACGTCTCTACAAAGTTTCTGTAGCAATTTCTCTGACCAATTAGTCAATTAACAATCACGTAGCAGTGTATTCAAAAGCATGGGGAAAGTGCTGTCTACCTTCTACACCCACTCCCTGCCATCTCCATGCTGTTGAATGCACTGCTAGCTGATGTTTACGGTTTCCACTAGCATTGCTACATGCTTTAAAAAATACTAGCCAGGAGATGCTGGACATTTCTACATAACCATCCTACAAACTCAATAAAAACATTACAAATGAAACGACAACCCGAAATCGAAAGTAAACACACAAAAAGTGCCTCTAATAAAGTAAACTATCCCTTTAAACTGAATAGAACTGACACATCAAAATACCTATGAATGAGAATTGTTGAAGGAACAAACCTGTAGCTAAATTGACCCTGTCATGATAATAATTTAAATCAAATATTGTCAAAGCAAATCGCATCCTCAGTTTTGTTTGTGAGCGAGTGGCATTGATTATTAATTAGACTCACCCAGCATAAAAGATTCAACAACTGCAAGGATTCCAAAAACAATTTTGTTCATCTTGACGGAAGTGTTTAGCAAAACCAACAGCTCCTTGTTGACGGTGACAAAAGACTGGTAAAGCCTGGGTCATAGACCTGGGATTTTATACTGTCAGAGTTGGGTTGAGGGCGAAAGGAGGAGGGGGAAAAGGGAGTTCAACTGGTCTTCTGTCTTTTGACCAAGTATGAAACAGGTTTCCCTCAAGAAATTCCCTGTATTTAGCGCCATCCATCATTCCTTCAATTCTGACCAGTTTCCCAGTCCCTGCCGATGAAAAACATCCCCACAGCATAATGCTGCCACCACCATGCTTCACTGTGGGGATGGTGTTCTCGGGGAGATGAGAGGTGTTGGGTTTGCGCCAGACATAGCATTTTCCTTGATGGCCAAAAAGCTCAATTTTAGTTTCATCTGACCAGGGTACCTTCTTCCATATGTTTGGGGAGTCTCCCACATGGCTTTTGGTGAACACCAAACGTGTTTGCTTATTTTTTTCTTTAAGCAATGGCTTTTTTCTGGCCACTCTTCCGTAAACCCAGCTCTGTGGAGTGTATGGCTTAAAGTGGTCCTATGGACAGATACTCCAATCTCCGCTGTGGAGCTTTGCAGCTCCTTCGGGGTTATCTTTAGTCTCTTTGTTGCCTCTCTGATTAATGCCCTTCTTGCCTGGTCCGTGAGTTTTGGTGTGCGGCCCTCTCTTGGCAGGTTTGTTGTGGTGCCATATTCTTTCCATTTTTTTATAATGGATTTAATGGTGCTCTGTGGGATAATTAAAGTTTCTGATATTTTTTTATAACCAAACCCTGATCTGTACTTCTCCACAACTTTGTCCCTGACCTGTTTGGAGAGCTCCTTGGTCTTCATGGTGCCGCTTGCTTGGTGGTGCCCCTTGCTTAGTGGTGTTGCAGACTCTGTGGCCTTTCAGAACAGGTGTATATATACTGAGATCATGTGACAGATCATGTGACACTTAGATTGCACACAGGTGGACTTTTTTTTTTTTTTTTTTTTTTCTTGTATATATTTGTTGCTTTAGGTTACATGTCTTATTTTTCAACAACAATCAGTGCAGTACCTGTATGTTGGAATTGAATAATACAAAATAAGTTAAAACAAATAACTCTTCAAGTTTGTTGTTGATCATTGCTAGACAATTTCAGTCAAAACTGTAACTTTTAGGCTATTGTCCTGCTGAAAGGTGAATTTGCATTGCAAGCGCGCCACGGACATTGTTGTCACCATAAAACCAGGAAGGTGAATCATTCTAATAAAAAAATTTGTAAAGAAAATGTTACGAAAAACAAGCAATTCTAAATAAATAAATACATGTAAAATGTAATGATATCATAAAATTGCCAGGAAAAAAAAGACACGCATTGCTGTTGAACCAGCCTTCGTTATAGTAGGCCTAAGGAAGGGCTTGGGTTTTGAACATATGAAACGGAAAACAAGCAAATTTGACAGGTTACAGGCCTAACTTCTAAATACGAGGTTCACCGGTATTCACCAAGGTTTTCATCTCTCGTTTCATGATGGGCATGGACACGTAGCCTACATCATGGAGGGAGTTTTACGGACGTCCAAAATGGGACCTGCATGGCTAAAATAATGTGGGCCTGCCTATAATGCATAGATAAAAAGGGAATGTCAGCTCACTGTTTTACTCCTCTCAAACGTTTTAATAATTATTTTAATAAAGCTTTGGTGATTTAAAGATTTATTTCCAAGTGGTCTCAGGAGCCAAACCCTTTATCGAAATTCTTGACTACTTCGCGATTGCATTGGGTAGACCAAAAAAATAGCCTTCATTTGAGAGGAGGGGAGGCTATGCTTGTTTTTTTATCACTTAAAAATAAATGGGGGTAAAAAACATGAAAGTCTGTATTTTGCCATTGCATGAGGCTTGGTCTTCACGGATTCAGTAGGCTATTAAACAAACACTCAAACAAGCAAGATTTGTCTTATTTCTGTAGATATATATGGATGATTTATAAAGCCAGGCACATTTAACAGTTAGGCTATTGATTATAGACGTAATTAAGTTGGAGTTTCCTCTCTCCTCAATTTTCTTAGACAATTAGGCTAAGGCTGTTTCCTCATAAGGGCTGTTTCCTCATCTCTGCTGCTGCTGCCTGCGCCACATTGTTCTCAATCCCAATATGCTGGTTAACTTTGCTATTATACACATAGCAACAT